GTGAAATCCAAAAATGGAGAGTGTTTTCTATTTCCGTTGAGTTTATTGTGTTTATTATTTTTAATTATTTAATCGTTCACAATACACAACGCCATATAAATATAGTACCTGAGAGTCGGTCTGAGTTTGTGACGTCACCGAAGGAGCCTGTAAGCCTGGAATATTTCGAACGCCTCGGTATGAGTCACGCGAAACCGCTTCTAGACTTAATGTTGGGTGTTTCATTCCCACCAGCCAGTAATGCTGGTGGGCGGGCAGTCCCTCTGGACTCCGCCGGAAGGTAGGGCTGAAGGCCCTCTTCAGCCTCCTTTCAGAAATCGTGGGAATAGGGGGATGGTGGTTCGGGTGAGAAAGATGAGACGGACGAAATGAAGACAGACGAGAATGAAAGATTATCTGTGGAATATTACTGCCACAGCATTTACCTAAGTGATCCAAGGAAACCACAGAAAAACTTGAATCACGGCAGACGGACTGGGAATCGAATAAACGTCCTCCCGAATGCTAAGTACAGTCTATTTCAATTTGTTAGAATTGTGACCTTGAAGAAATCTGCGCGATTATAGAAGGAATGCACACTAGGCGTGAGCAAGACAGAAATAGTTGGAACAAGCCTGAACGAGCAGAGCTCTCGATGGGCGGTCTTAGGAGATCGGCTAAAACTGTACAGTACTAGACGAAAATGTTTAGCAATTTCTTAAAACAAAAATGTATATAAATTAACAATAGAAAACAAAGNTGTTATGTTAAATAATACACGACCTAATGCTTTCTGTCGGACTGGAGTAAATCAAAGCTGCGAACAATCCGTATAACGCAAACCTTGACCCTCCAAACCTTCACATAACTGGACCACTGGACCATAATGCTCGCCTCCTTCCTCATAATCATAAGGTCGTCAGTGCCAAGGCTGGTTAGACAAGTACCTCCACTCTTTCCTATCCTGAGCTAATCTTCGCATTTCCCTAAAACTAGAACAGCCCACATCTTGACTATTTGCGAACAGTAATCTAATCTGGGTCTATCTCTACCCCTCCTAACTCCTGTTTCTGCCTCTAATATGTCTCTGACTAGACCTTCATGCCTAAGAAGGTGTCCTACCAACCTATCTCGTCTATTTTTTATTGACTTCCATAGAGTCCTCTGTTCTCTCCTATTCTTTCCAATACCTCTTTATTTCTAACCTTTTCTACCCACGGTATCCTCATTTCGAACGCTTCTAACCTTTCCCGTTCAGCGTCGCGCTCCAAACATACACCTTTAACAACCTTTGTCGAACTTCTACATTGATGGCGACAGGACCATGCGCTATCCTCTGCTTCATATCCCTACTACTCCTTCCGTCCTGACTTATCTGACTTCCTAGATACCTAAATTCAGCCACTTCTTTTAAAATTTCGTATCTTTCCTTTATATTCGCTTTTTTCCTACTTTTTCTTCCATTGCATACCAGTATTTTAGTTTTACTTTTATTTATTTTCATGCAGTACTGATCTGTCAGTACCGCTTCCATTTTATTTAAAGCTATCTCTAAGTCCTCCTTGTTAGATGCTAATACTGCTATATTATATGCAAATCTAAGCATACTAACCTTTTGCGCCTGTATGTTTATCCCTACAGTTGTACTGTCTTTAATGATATTGATCGCGTCTTCGATGTATAGATTAAAAAGTATGAGTGAGTGTGCTTCCCTGTCTGACTCCCTTCCTAATATTTACTTCTCTACGTTGCAGCCCTAGCTCTATAACTGCCTGTTGCTCTTTATACAAACTAAGTATCACCCTGCTATCTTTCTAACTCATACCTATATTCTTAAGTATATTTAACATCTTGTACCATTTAACATTGTCAACAGCTTTTTCTGAATCTACAAATCCTATATACATATACTCTTTCCTTTTTTTATCGTTTTGTTAATGTTACCCGTAAAGCTGGAATGGCCTCCCGCGTTCCTCTATTTCTTCTAAACCCAAATTGATCTTCGCCTAATAGTTCTTCCGCCCTTTTTATAATTCTAGTTAAGGTTTTTGACGCATGGGAAGTTAGGCTAATTGTTCTTAATGTCTTGCATTTATCTGCGCCTCTCTTTTTAGGTATGGTTACTACCACGTTGCGTTTATAATACTCTATGACGTTTCCCGTTTCGTAAATGCAACTAGCTAGCTTAAACATACGATCTCTAACCTCTTGCCCTGGATGTTTAATATCCCCCTGTATCCCATGTACACCTGGCACCTTATTATTTTTAAAGTTTTTAATGCTACATCGAACTCTTCTCTCATTATGAGATAACCTAGCTCATCTATCTCCACACTATCTTCCTTTTCTAATATGTCTCCTAATTCATGGCCTGCATATAGGTTCTCTAAATATTCTTTCCACCTATCTGCCTTTTCCTCATTTTCTATCAAAATGGCCCCTGCCTCGTTTCTTATATTATTACCACTGTACCCTACATCTTTAAAATTCCTTTTAATTATATTATAAGCCTTATCGGTTTTACGTACTTCAAACTTTTCTTCTACTTCTTTATACCTCCTATTAATCCACTGTTCCTTCGCTGCCGTACGCTTCCTAATTATTTCCCACTTTATAGCCTTATATCTTTTTTGCCCTTCTTCGTCTGTCCTTTCTTCTATTAAACCTACAATCTCATTTCTTATCTCATTCCTACTCTGGAAACTTTCGTTTTATTTAAGACGTAGTATATCTGTAGCTGCTGACTTTAGGCACGTTTTAATGCAGTTTCATTTTGTCTCTATGTCCCTGTCATTCGTAGCAGTAAGCTGTTGATATTTATTTCATTAGCCATTCCACAACCATCACTGTTTACATTCTCCATCGATGTAGCTGCTTAGTTGTTATCGCAATTTCGTTGAAAATTCACGCCCAAGGAGCGGCTTCGAATTGCAACTTCTTCTGATTTTCTTATAAACTTTTTTAACTCTATCACGCTTCTTTACTTAATCTAAAGCTTGCTAGGTATTTCACCCTGTATAGTGTGTTAACGTCATAATTTGAGTGTTACCAAATACCAAATCTATTATCACAAACTCGCCTACTACGTTGTAATTAAAAAACAAAACAGCTTTCATTTCACTATACCTTTTTGTTATTATTTTTTTTTTACAGTGAATCTTCATCGTACTTCTACCCATTTAAACTACTTCTATTTCGCTACTATATATTTACGTATGTGTGTAATGGTTCAGTTCAAGATCTATTTACCTAAATTAACCCTCGCACAATTAACCCTGAGAGCCGTGAAAATGAGGAAATAATATTTTTGTGACGATAACTAAACGAGTTCCACCATATACATAATGAGTGGATAGAAAGACGAAACTTAATTGCTGCGAGCGGATAAATTTTTAATTAACCGCCGTTTTAAATTACCCCTGAATCTCATTAATAAACGTTTTATTCGCGTTTATAATCTTCCCCGTTTATTTTTTAAATGCTCGGTTACAAATGATAATGTTCGCTGTTTTGCTTTCTCGCTAGAATGCATCCCGTTTCAAATTATAATAGATGATGAAATAACGGCCACCGTGCGCGCAATTTAGGGTGCAAGAGGGTGATAATTGTTCGTGAAAAATAAAAATTGAGCACGGCCAACATAGATAATAAGCTGTAGTAATTCTTATGCATTGAAAATATTTACAAAACACAATACTGCAGGTAATATGTTGGTGTTATTAGATTACCTATTCGCGAAAATCTCCATTACTTATATTTTTTTTGATATTGATTGATATTTTGTGACCTGGCGTCGTATTATTTAGATTCGTGAAACGGGAGAATAAAATGTGGTCTGTATTCTGTCGAAACTGTCAGATTCGGATCGCGATTTCGATCTTTTTGGATCTCATCAGCGCGTCGCAGACAGCAAAAAACTTAAAAAAAACTTTTGGGCGTTTCATTCCCACCAGCCAGTAATGCTGGTGGGCGGGCAGTCCCTCCGGACTATTCCGGAAGATAGGGCGGAAGGCCCTCTTCAGCCTGCTTTCAGGAATCGTGGGAATGGGTGGGTGGTCGTTCGGGTGAGAAAGGTGAGACAGACTAAATGAAGACAGAAGAGAGTGAAAGATTATTATCTGTGGAATATTACTGCCTCAGCATTTGCCTAAGTGATCCAAGGAAACCACAGAAAAACTTGGATCACGGCAGACGGACCCGGAATCGAACCGGCGTCCTCCCGAATGCTAAGCACTGGTCTAGACCTGTAGGCCATGCCGCTCGGTGACCCGACAGCTTCGACAGAAGACAGACCAACTTTATACGTTTTAGAATACATCACAAATGGCGCGGTAAACGCCATCTGTAGTACGATGCTACATTTTATCGCGATCCGTGTCTGGCAGTTTCGACAGAATACAGACCACTTGGAATTATTTTATTCGATTATGGTAACGTGCCTATCACGTTTAGGTTAGCTACGCCTGGATTCGTTTCAGCAAGTAGATATCCATATATTTAAATGGACCTTGTTGGAGCATACGTAATCCTAAAATATAGCATCGTACTACAGATGGCGTTTACCGCGCCATTTGTGGTGTTTTCTAAAACGGGAGAAGCCTAAAACACATGGCGCAAACGAGAGACAACTTTTCAGTTTTACTAGGCACGCCGTTACTCGCTTCTCTAACACAAATGGAGTGAAGCATTCACCGTCGTTTGTAACATCAGCGATGAGCGAAACACATCCTATATTTAAAAGAAAAACACCAGAATGTTTCAACAATAATGTAATGAAACACAACTCGAAAACAGTTTCGACCTATTTGACCATTTTCAAGAGTTCAGAAACAATATAATAAGCATATAAGAAATACTGGTGCAACGGAAGTGCCATAACGGAAGTGCCATAACGGAAACATAAATCGAGTAGAAAATTTGAAGAAAGAAGTTTGCCTAATTTGTATTTTCGACAGATTTTTTAACATAACTATTTTTCAATTAGAAATTTAAAATTGAAGTTTCATTATAAGATTACATACCTAGTTGGTAGACATGACTTAAATTTCCACAACTTTCTCGAACTTCTTGGTTGTCCCAACCTATGGGATACAGGATTGTTCCAATTAGTATCAAAAAAGCTGCAACACAAATAGAAAATACCTATAATTAGCAGGTAACATGTATTAATCGTAATATCTAACGCTAGAGGAAAATGGGAATTGGATAAAAGAAAAGTTAATTATTTGTTTCAGTATTGACATTGTAGAAATTGCTGATCAATAAATAAAATAAACATAATAATGGAATTTAATTTTCAGTACCTATTTCATTTTAAATCTTGAAAATTATTTCACCCCACTTCTAGGGTTCTAGGTAAGTAAATAAAAAAGTTTGGAAATAATGAATAAAAATAGTAAATAGTAGTGACAAAAAGAAGAGATAGGGTGAAGAGTTAGTTAAAAATATTAAGGTTCAGTTACACAGTCAGTGTTGGCCCGTATTCACTCTATTCCAACCCTTAGGCAGGGGGTACACCAAGGATACTTATTTACATCAATCATGGAGTCCGATCTAGGGGAGGGGCTCAGCTGGGCAAAAGTCTAGAGCGGCAAAAATGAGGGGCACCAAAATTGGGGGCATCGGGAGATACGGAAAGATAACTCTTATAATAATTACAGTGCTTAGGAACCCGACAAAAAAGTACTCTTTAAGTTTCTTTTTTAATTACCATTTCAGCTAGAGGCTGTAAATTCATAGACTCACAAATAGATTTTAAAGTGCTGTCTAATAATTTTCTTAATGTCATCTCCTAATGGGTAGCAAAGAAAGAAAAATAAGAAAGAACTCTTTTAAGCACCCGAAATGTATTAATTGTTTTTATGATTGTTATTACAAGGAAATTCTCCCAAAATTTTTACCGATTTTATATTTTTCAACTGGCAACCCTTTGCTTTTCATTTATATATCACAAAGATTTCCACCTACGTTGAATGAAGTTGTTATTTTCGATGATTTGTATATGTGGGTAATAAATTTATTTTTCCATTAGTTTAATACAGTTTTCTGGAGACTTGTAGTAATAATGTTCTGTGATGGAGACACATTTCCGTCGCATTACTATGTAATATACTCGTTCAGAAGCCGCAGTAGATTAACAAGTGAACATTATACAATTTCAACAATATTACATACAGACATACATCGGTCGGTTAATAATCGTACCATTCCATCTCTGAAATAACATACTCATTACTTCTATAAACTGTCATTGTAATGGGTGACAACCCAGTGGCATGGCCTAGAAGTTTAGACCAATGCCTAGCATTCGGGAAGATGCTGGTTCGATTCTGGGTCCGTCTGCCTTGGTCTACATTTTTCTGTAGTTTTCTTGAATCACTTAGGTAAATGCTGGGGTAGTAATATTTCATACATAATCTTTCAATCTCTTCTGTCTTCATTTCGTCCGTTTCATCTTTCTCAACCGAACCACCACCCACCTATTCCACAAATTCTGAAAGGAGGCTTCCGCCCTACTTTCCGGCATAGTCCGGAGGGACTGTCCGTCCACCAACATTAGTGACTGGTGGGAATGAAACACCCAAAAGTTTAAAGTTTAGGACGACAAATATTAGTTTTGTCCGGAGAGGCTAAATTTCTAGATCGGGCCCTGATCAAGCATGCAATATGCGGATGTAGGTAACGTCCTGAGACCCAGTTTTAGAAAAATGCGAAAGGTTGGCTCAGAAACGAAGAATGGAGGTGCGTGTCCAGCCAGTATTTGAACTGACGTGCCAATGATGGTACGGTATTAACTGATGAATGATGTTGTAAATGTAAATGTCTAAGTGATTGAGTACGGACAATTTTATTTTTAAACGGCTATCTATAAAGAGAGAAGAACGAATGTTTAATGGTAACTCCCGAGATAAAAATGTTCAGTCTCTCAGAGTCTCTGAAAGCGAGACTCGAGTCTCCGTCTCTTATCGAGTCTCTCTGGTGTCGCTGAGAGAGACTGTCGAGAGATTGTCAAAACAACTGTTTAGCGTCTCTGTTTCTAAGTTCAACATATTTCAGAGATTCTAGTCTTTCTACGAGAGACTCTAATCTCTGAATTAATAATTTTATCGTTCGAGTCTCTCATACAGAGACTGTGAGAGATCTATAAAAACACCTAGGCAATAACTGAGAGACTGTGAGAGATTGTGAGAGCCGCTCTCAGAGACGCTGAAACACTCTAAAAGACTCTGAGAGACTGGAGAGAGACTAAAAATTTTTGTTTAACCTTCGAAAAGGAAGGATTAAAATTTAGTTAATATAAAGACAGATAAAAAATTAAACTAACCACAATTTTCATGAAGAATTTGCAACTAATTGTAAGTTCTTTATGTTTAAAAACCTGATTTTACAATTACGGTT